GTCCCCCCCCCCGTGGGCAGAGTGATGCTGAGCCACCGGGCTCTGCCCAGCACCAGGGAAAGGCTTAGGAATGAGGACCAACAAACACCGTGCTGGGGACAACCCTGTGCAGGAGGGGACTGGCACGGTGTCACCGCACACCTGGCCACTATCTGCCGCTCTCCTGGCGCTTCTGCAGCAGCTCGATGACCTCCGTGATGCCCTCCTCAGGGACCTGTGGGGACAGAGATCTGTCAGCCCCACTGGGGGACGTGGGGAAGCCGCGGTGCCGCGTGCTGGGCTCACCAACGCGTGGTCGAAGTTGAAGGTGCTGATATAATAGGCTGAGATGTCAACAGCAGCCAGCGGCTCGGCGATCTGCGCCACGATGCCACACTCATCTGGAGAGGCGACGAGACCGTGGTGTCACCAACACAGTGACAAACAGTGGTGGCAGAGGAGGGGTCCCCAAATCCCTGTACAACAGTGCAGACCCGCGATGGCACTCACCAAAGCCCAGGGGCTGCCCACCGATCCTCACCATCCGCCAGAGCTCCCCGCTGGAGCTGGTGAGCAGCAGGTCGCTGGGGAACCTAAAAAGGGGGGAACTGAGCATGGCAGAACCCCAGTGCTGGGCGGGGACACCAGGGGACAGCACCTACTGCTTCTGGGTCTCTGCATCCATCACGATGGAGATGTAGCCCTCGATGAGCGAGAAGGAGAAGAAGGTGATGGAGTCGAGGTCACCAGCACTGGGTTCCTTGGGGGGACTGAAGGGAGAGGATGGCACAAGGACCTCGAATCAGGAAAAGTGTGCCATTGGGACAGCTCCAAGGGTGCCAATGGGGCATCTCGGTGTCACCCAAGGGTGTCTCAAGGTGGGAACAGAGATGGCAAACTTGGGCAGCTGAGTTTGCAGGTGGTGGGTGCCCACTCCATTTACAAAAAGCCCTTTACTCTTTTGCTTTGTGTGGCTGCACCACATGGCTTGTCTCCCCAGGGCTCCTGTCCACAGAGGTGGCAGCAGGGCTGGCAGCACCCAGCGGTGACAAAAAGTTAGCAAAGTGCACGGGGAGGTCAAAAAGGGGAGGAGTAAGTGAGGCACAAGGGGTGACACTGGTGTCCCCAGCGCTGTCACTCACCTGTGGGAGTAGAAGAGGACATCGATGAGCATGGTGGCGATGGCAGGCAGCGTGTCGGGTGCCACCGTCAGGATGCAGAAGCGGTTCTGGGGGCTCTGCACGGGGTGCAGCGTGGGGCTGGGAGCTGCGGGGCAGAGCCACCAGCTGTCACCGGTGCCCTTGGGGACAGCACCGCAGTGCCACCACGTGGCCACCGCGGCCAGCAGCGTCCCCGGGGCACCGCAGGATGCCAAAAACGCAGCGGCCCCCAAAGCACAGGGGTGTCTGCAACGGAGCGTCCCTTGGGCACCGTGCCACCTGGGGACGAGGTGGCCTCGGGGACATCCTGGTGCCACTCACCCGACTTGGGCTTGAGGAACCCATTGCTGGTATCATCACATGGGACCGGGATGGATTCACCATTCTCCTCCCTGTAGATGTCAAACTCCCCGGCCAAGGTGTGAATGACCACAGGCAGGTCCCGCTCCCGTACCTGGCAGTGGCGTGGCATCATCGTCCCCAAAGATCAGCGGGGTCCCCACCATCTCCCACGCGGCCCCAGGGCCACTTGGCACCATCCCCACAGAGCTCACCAGGATGAAGTCGGTCTGGTAGGTGGAGAGCATCAGCACGGAGACGTGGTGCTCGGCCAGCGGCGCGATGACGGAGCGGGCGATCTTGGTGACGCCGGTGGCCTGGCAGCCGGAGGGCGCACAGCCGTTGGAGACGACGCTGAGCACCAACCATGTTGAGTCTGCCACCTGCATGAACTCGGAGGGCGGCAGCTCTGTGTGGGAGAGGGGAAACTGAGGTATGAGATGGGGCTGTGCTGTGTCCCCAAACCTGCCAGGATGCCAGCAAGATGGGACAGCGGGTACCAGTCTGTACAAGGCTGGGTGCCGGAGGGGGCAATGGCCTGCTGGGGACAGGGTAAGGATACAGGAGTGGATGCTGAGGGTGGCTGCCTGGGGACAGCAAGGACATTGTGCCCAGGGCACCACAGGGTGTAACACTACGTACATCCCTGCTCTGATGGCAGTGCAGGGTGCTGAGTGCCAGCATATGGGGAAATGATTCGGTGCTGTTCCCATGCAGCAAGGGGCAGCGTCAGCTCCACACATGGGACTGGGAATGCTGGTACGAGGGACAAACCTCCCAAATCTGGGATGTGCCTCTCGTCCTGCACTTGCAGAGCTGACTGCAAGTGGGTGCAGCACGCTAAGACCCTGGGGCTGTGCACATCTCCCACCCCATCCTCTGCCCCTGTGTCACACCGGAGGGGACATGGGACAGCCTCACACCGTGCCCAGCTCTGACAAGCCACAACCCATGAGGCTGAGCCCGTGCTGGCAGGAGGCCAGGGCTGCCTCCCAAAAAGCTGCTGTTGTTGGCAGGGAATGAGTGTGCCGGCCGGTTCCTTCCTGCCCCACACCCGCTCCCCAGGAAGGAACGGATCAGGGCCACGCTGTTCCTTCGACACCCCGTGTTCCCGAGTGGGCACCCCCAGACCTCACTGCCCAGTGCTCAGCAGCAGCCAGGCAGCACCGGGCTGAGACCATCCACCTCATTGCAGCGATGAGGGAGGAGTAAGGCTGGATCCGGAGTTCTCAAGCCCAGGGTGCTGGCAGCCGCCTGTTCCTGTGCAGGAAGCGCTCCCGAGGACGGGGACCGCGGGGCCGCATCCCCACTTAATGGCTTTTCAACACCCACAGGAACCAGGGGCCACAGCGGGGGCTGTGACACATGGGTGCCCCCAGATGTGTCCCCACGCCTTGGGGAGCAGCCGGCCCCGGATCCTCGTCCAGCCCCAGTGCCGTGAATTATAACAAGGGGGTGCAGCAGGGCCCCACGGGGTGACCCAGGGGTGCTGGCAGCCCCCCAGCCCGGCGCCGTGCAGCGCCTCGCAGCCATTGTTTGCTGCTTCCCGCCTGCCCCTCGGGATCGAGGAGCGTTTGGCCATAAGGCCCCACATAAAACAATGCGTGGGGATCGGCCCCGGTTCCTCCGGCAGCAGTGGGGAGCTGGGCTGCAGCCGGGTGGGAGCGTCGCACCACAGCCGAGCTGCTGACCTTTGCTCCTCGGGGCGTGAGCAGGAGATACAGCCCGGCCAGGGGGGTTTGGAGCACAAGATGGGGTCAGGATGTGCCCCCCAGCACAGCCCGTGGGGTCAGACCCCCGCAGCAGGGCTGCACTACACGGGGATATCGCCCAGTGCCACCTTCCAGGGAGAGGGACTGATTTAGAAGGGCTGAAAGACCCCCAGCGCGCCCTGATGGAGGGATATGGGGATATGGGGATATAGGGTTATGGGGACGGGCAGCATTCCCACTCCCCACCCCATCCCACTGCAGAGGCACAGCCGCGTCCCCGTGGCTGCGGGCAGCACCGGAGCAGCCAAACTGGGAGAACCTGAGCAGGGCAGTTCCCTGCTGACCGCGGAGCTCCGAGCATCACGCAGCTGAGGCCGGCCACAACTCGTGGCTGCAGTGGCAATACCTTTGAAGCCCTCCTCGTCCAGCATGATGGTGTAATCCTCGGGGGTCTCGGTCAGGCTGAAGAACTTACACCTGCCGGGACACAACGCGGTGCGGTGGGACCGAGAGGAGGAGGAGGAGGAGGAGGAGGAAGGGGTGAGGAAGGGGAGCGGTACCTGCAGCGCTGCGGCAAGAAGAGCAGTTTGAGCAGCGGGTGGGTGTAGAGCCACAGCCCGCGGCGCGCCAGGGACAGCACCCGAACGCGGTGCTCCAAGATGTGAAGGTCCATGGCGGCCGCGCCGCGCCGCACCGGG